TATAATTTCATTTAACATTTCTATTGTAGATATAAATAAATAAATAAATTTATTTTAAAAAATTAATAAAAAATGAAAATGTTGTATTCTAATATTCACGAACCAAATATGATTTTTAGTAGTAAACATTTTCATAAACATTTCAAAAACATTTCCAAATTAGTAATTTTAACTATGGTTATAATTTCATTTAACATTTCTATTGTAGATATATTTACATGTGAAGCTTTATTTTAATATATTACCTTTACCTTTCTATTTTAATCCAGATGGATTGGAAGATCCCCTAAATGCGGGACTCTGATTCTGTCTCCTTTTCTTTTTATTCTATAACTTATAATTCAGAGTTCAGTAGAAATACATAAATTCCATAAATATGTTTTACTAATTATGAAATATATATTTATGGCAATAATTGAAATTTTAGTATCTACTTTCTTTAAAGCAATTCATAAAGTAAATGGAAATCAGGTTAAAAGATGTAAGTTCCATCTAAACAGGTTTAATAAGCTGAAATGTTGCAAGACACATCTCATTTCATTTGGTTTTGGTTTTGACCTTAGTCTTCCTGAGCTAGAAGTTGTGTATCACAGAAATGTCAGGAAATCCGGACTTTTGAGCCTCGCGATGATTGCATGATACTTCTTTGTTTGGTAACACACACCGTGCAGCTTTGTTTCACATCCACATGTGCACATATGTGTTAATCTCGAATGCTTTGAGCTGCAATATACGCAGTCAGCCTTAGAACAGCCTTGTTGGGATTTGAAAAGAAAAAGCCTTACTCGAGGCCGTTAGAAACATGCCTTGACTGTGCGCTGGAAATGACTTGCAGAAACACGACGCCCAGTTTACCGTCATCCAGCTTGTGGGGATGCTCCGAGGAATAGCGTCGGGAATGAAGTATCTGTCAGACATGGGCTACGTGCACCGCGACCTCGCTGCCCGCAACATCCTGATCAACAGTAACCTGGTGTGCAAGGTTTCGGACTTCGGACTTTCACGAGTCCTAGAGGATGATCCAGAAGCGGCTTACACGACAAGAGTGAGTGACATGGATTTTCCCTTCTTTTTTTGTCTTTACATTGTATCCTATGTCACAGGAACCCCAAAATAGGTAGAAACCACTACTGCATATGCTTTTCAGTTGTGCGTTCCAATGAAGGAAAGTTCGCTTTTTTAGAAAACATATTTTGTACGTGGTCTCACTATGCAGCTGAGACTCATAGTGATCCTCCTGTTTTCAGCTTCCCGAGCGCCGGGGTTACAGGCGTGTGCCACCAGGCCTGGTCTCCGGGGCTGGCTCAGCGCACCTGGGGGCGGGCCCAGTGCTGCATGGGGTGCCCGGGATGGCACCCCGGGCCCTGCGCTTACCTGGGCAGACACTTAGTCCGCTGAGCTATCTTGCTGGCCCTGGAAAGTTCTCTTCAAGTTAAAATATTATTACTCATTCAGGGAAACATAAATTACTGTTTAAAATGTGTCGTAGTTGCTGCCCTCCCTGCTGGGATGAAGTTCTTGACGCCTACAGCGTAGAAGAAGGGTTTATTTCGGCTCACAGTTTGCAGAGGTCCCGCGCTATAGGCAACTGTTCTAAGGCAGAACTACATGGCAGAAGCACGTGGGCAGGACAAGGTCGCTCCCTGCACCCGGGAAGCAGACCGAGGGTGCGGGGAGGACTGCAGCACGGAGGGGTGCCTGCCGGCCGCGCTGTGCCAGCCCGCGGCCTCCGGCAGACCCCGCTTCCAGCAGCGAGGCAGGGTTGTGCTGCCGCACAACGCAGTCACCCCCCGGACCCCTGCCTGTGGGCGCGCGGGGCTCTCTCATCACCCCGTGACATAAACTGTAACAAAAACACTGTAACGATTTTAATTATGCGATGCTGTATTTATTCTGTGAATCATTTACTTAACCTTTTTCTTCATTTCTCATATATAAACGTGAGTGAACAGTGATTAAGATGGGTTATCTGTCATTAAAATTTGTACTGTTTTTCTCATTAACAAAATATCTTTTGTTTTTGAAATTTTATATTGTTTCTAATGTTTATTATTATTTATTCTCTTTAAAATAGAAAAACAAAAACAAAAAACTGAAAAAAATATATCCCTACAGGTATTTCATTGTGAAATAACTTTTGTTTTAATTTTAGCAGTTTGGTTTACTGTTATTTTTTACTATTTTTAAGGCAAACTCTAGGGGCAAATATTACTGCTATGATACTTTATACAAATGTATAAAGTGATACATTTTGCATTCACAAATGTATGGGTCTGGTGGCTTTCTTATAGCATATACTTAAAAGTGTATTGGCTACGTCATGGTGTAGGCCTCCTTTAATTCTTACTCATTTGAGTCAGAATGTTTTAAGATACTTCTTTGTATAGTTATTGTTATATTTCCTTGAAATAGTGTTTTAGAGAATTTTTTATAGTAGTCAACTTAGAAAACTGAAATGTCCACAACTAACAAATAATAGATAATGATAAATAATAAATAAATAATAGATAATGATACTGCCCAAAGATAACATTTTATCTTTTCAGAATATTTTATAGATTAAAAAATTCTTATATAAATTATAGTTCTTATACAAATAATTCACACATAAATAATCATTTCTTTTGCAGATAGCCAATTTTTCATGCTGTGTATGTGACATATAATGTGTTTCCAAATCATGAACAAATGCAATATATTTGTCTGACATAAATTCAAATTTGTTGAAATCTATTACAAAATTAAAAACCATAAAGTATTGAAAGTTCCATGTAATTAAACATTCTTTTATAACGTTACTCAACAATGTATAGCACACTTTTTTACTCATGTACATGATTTATTTTAATGGTATATTACTAACTGGACTGAATTTCCTCACTTTGATACAATTAAAAATACTGTGAGGCATGTCCTCATATCTTCTTCATCTCTGTTTAGCACTGCTTCTTTAGGATAAAGAACTGAAATTTCTTAGATCCAAATGTGTTGAAATTGGTGAAGAGTTTGGGGCCTTGAATTGTACAGTTGTCTTTACCACACCAGCCTGCAGTGCTAGAGACGGTGCAGTAATGTCACTTTTTTCTGCAATGATTATTGTCAGTGAATATTAGAAAAAATAGATAATTCTGAGCTTCTACTTTTTTTTTTTCCTTTGAAGGTGAGAACTTTCACAATTTCATGCAAAGGAATCATTTTATATCTTCTCTTTGGCAAATCTCCCTGCTCAGCATTACTACTCTCGTGCTATGCGGATATTACTAAATGCAGTAAGAATTCCCAGGGGCCAGCAAGATAGTTCAGTGGTCTAAAGCACCTGCTTAAGTAAGCTTAGGTAGGCCCAGGGGACTGCAGTTCAATTCCCGGCACCACATGCTGCACCAGCCCCACCCTCAGGGAGGACTGAGCTGGCCAATAAAAAAGAATTCCCAGAACACATCACAGTGCTAGCAGGACAGTTGATCTGATAACCCAGACCCCTGTGCAGTAACAATAAGTGTGGGTGAGGCAAACAGTACAGACACTATGGACAGAGGGATATTTACCCTCCCAGCTTGGGTAGGATGAAAAGCACATTGCTGAGAATGGTAGGCAATGTAAGCTTTAGGATTTATTTATTGATGGATTTGTTCCATTTAATAGTTTGGACTTTGAATGACGTTAGCTATCAGAAACTATGTAAAGTGAAACTATGGCTGTGAAGGGATTACTGTGCACCACAGACGTTTTTACCCTCACACAAACAAAGATAACAGGTTCTAAAGGCACTTGCTGGGTGTGGGAGGGGGGCAGAGATGTAATCTCAGCACTCAGGAGCTGAGGCAGGAGGCTTGCTGCAAGTCTGAAGTCAGCCTGGACTACAAAGTGAGCTTGAGGCCAACCTGAACCACATAACAAAAATCCTATCTCAAATATGTATGTTTTCCTGGGATTACAGGAATTGAATTTAAGACCTTGCGCTTGCAAGGCAGGTGTTGTGCCGTTGAGCTATATCACCAGCCTCTAAAAGTGTATTATTGTTAAAGCAAACAAACAAAAAATTACTATCTTTTAGACTACTCAGTTAACAGCTACCAATACTTCCTGAGTGCTAAGATTATGTTCTGTAATCTCACCATCTATGCAAAACTTTTGGGATAAGTCTGATTTGCTGGATTGTTTATGTATAGGTAAATCAACAGTGAAAGAACCACAGAGACACAGTAGCCCACAGCGGCCCTGGGGATTGCTAGTTGATTGAGTAGCTTTGATTCTCTTGACGACCTCATACATTATAGTCTTTTCTTCTTTTCAGCTACACTGTATGTTGGATTCACTTTGTCAATAAAGCTAATTTTTTTTTCTTTTTCTTTTTCTTTTTTTTTTTTTTTTTTTGTATTTAGGAACATGGTCTACAGCTTCTATAGGGTCTCACTATTTAGATTGGACTCGCAGTGATCCTCCTGTTTGCAGCCTCCCAAGTGCTGGGTTTATAGGCAGGCACCACCATGCCCAGTCTCAGTCACTGTCTCAGCGCACCCTGGGGGAAGGACCAGCAAGGCAGGCCCAGGGATCAAACTCCTGTTCCCTAAGTCTGCCTAAGCAGTGATATTTTTTAAGACATAGTCTGAATGTCTGAATTTTGGACAGGAAACTTTTTACACTGCAGGTAGTTGAATACATGTCTCTGGGTACCTATCGCCATAGAGTTCTGAATAACTGTTGAAATTGAAAGACAATAGTAATTACCTTAATAATGCCTTTTAATGCTGCTTCTCTGAAATCCACAAAAGATCAGTTGGCCAATGTCCTACAGAAAAGCATCATTTTTATGATTGAACTATCATCTTGGAAGACAGCATATACATCAAAAAATATGTATTTCCTCAAGAAATACCTTTATTCTCCTCTGTACTAGTCTCGTTCCTGAAGCTATCTTTCATCACTTTCTGCTATGTGAACTCCTCACATAAGCCATGAAAAGAATCAAGCTCATTTTACTGTCTTTTTTGTTATGATGACCATACTATTCAGAAACTCCTTCTGTATTAATATAAAATATTTGAACTTATTCCATATATAAAGAGTTACTCAGTTGGGTTCTACATTCTACACTATATTCAATTATTAAATGAGAGACACCTTGTCTCCAATACTCTTCTTGATTTCTAAGATAATCGATGAAGCTATTATTTTGTTGGCAATTGCAATGACTCATAAAATACCTAGAACTTCTGCTCTCTGGCTGTTTCATTTATAAATTACTTGGTCTTCATACAGAAGCATTTAGCAAACATTTGGCTTCTAAACTTTGCTTGTGTGACAAATCTTTCCCTCATAGACACAAACATGTCTATCTTTGGAAAATTGTAGAACAAATGAAGTTCATGAACCCAGGCAACATTATGTTGGGGTAACTTCCAGAGATTCATCTCCACTGATACTATTTTGTCAGGACTGAAGAGTTCTGACAACTATTTCTTTTTCTTGGTACAAGAAGACAACGCTATATCAAAATTTCTCTTAACTTTCTTGAACACCACCAACAAAAACCAAACAAACAAAAATCGTCTTTGTTTCAATATTTCCGTGTCAAAAGATTCTTTACAAACAAGCCAATCGACTGAGTTCTTGCGCTGTTGATAAATAGCTTAGAGTTTTGCAGTGTTCACCCTTGTATTTTCATCCTACAGAATTCCACAGAATATACATGGGTTTGTTTTTCCTGAGGATCTAGAATTTGCCTTTATAGTTTTAGAATAATTTGGAAGCCACTGATTTAAACTGCATAAGAATAAGCCTTATTTAGCACACTAATTTATAATTATTATATAACTGAACACTAAGCATTTAGAGAATAGGGCTGTCATTCTTTTGTATGAAATACACCACAACAGCTAATGTAATTGCCATTTTAAGTTGTCATATTTCAGAATGTGTGCTGGATACAGGTATTTTGTCATTATAAAAGGGAGTTATCATTAATGCTAGATTGTAACTGATCGTATTAATCAAAATTCTTTAAGCACTTACTTTGCCATGTTTAAGCATGTGAAACCGATTTGA